CGTGTGTAGCGCTACTAAACTTCGGTCCATTGAACATAAACATATAGGACCCATTTTATATTCATAAATCAAATTACGTATTTTAAAGTATGAAAAATGATTAACACAACATATGACTACACTTACCTCGTAAATCTGAAGAGGGTTTGAGAAAATACGTACGGAAGAACTTGGACCTTAAACAACCGTTTATGAATTATGTGTAGTGTGGGACAATCATAGTTTTGCACACACATATATAGATATGCATAATTATGGAAATCATATAATTTAAATTAATGAGTCGTAATTACATACAATTACACCCATATAGACCCACGTGATTGTAGTCATACTATAATTTAAATCAATCAATCGTAATTATATATAATTATACATATATAGTCGCACTTAATATAATTAACATTAAAATTTAAATCTATCAATCATAATTATACTTATATAGGCGAACGTAATTGTAGTAACACTTCCTGTGAATGGAAGACGTGTTAAAGGCATGGAGAGGAGAGTTTCGCGATAAGGGTAGCAAGCTTGTATGGAACCTCATTCCGGGTGCATTGTATGATGTGTGTGGAGAGAAAGAAATAGTCGTTGCTTTGATGATCAATTCTGACAACAGAGCAGATTAGAGGATTGTTTTATTTGACATTATATACTTGGTTTAAGGCTGCGGCTACTAGGCATATAGACTGGCTATCCAATTTCTTCTTCTTCCTTTTTAGTATAAATTGATAATGCACTTCCTATGTATTATGTATTGATTAATAAAATATTTGATTACCTTAAAAAAAAAAATTGTAGTAACACTATAATTTAAATCAATCAATCGTAATTATACATAATTATACGTATATAGGCTTATGTAATTGTAGTAACACTATATTTAAATTCAATCAGCCATAATTATATTATACAAATATAGACGCACGTAATTATAGTAATCACATAATTTAAATCAATGTCATATATATATATATATATATATATGGTAGTTTAATTATTTAGTAAGCAATTTTCCTAATTTATCTCTGACATATAAAGAAGTTTACTTGATTCCATCCAATTTCTTAATATATATATATATGGACATATATGATAGTTTACTTATTTAGAAATGAATCTTTTTAATTTATCTTTTATATATAAGGAAATTATCTTTCATATATATAGAAGTTTAATTAGCCCTTGTTTGAGCCTCATTCTTTTGATAAAAATGAATTTTTGAATAGTGTATTGATGAGAAATGTGTGATTAAAAAATAAGAAAAAGTTTTGGATTTGCGTGTAATATTATTTTATTGAAGAATGTGTCGTTGAAATAATGTCAAAACACTGTTTAAAAATGAATTTTTTTCAAAGAATGGAAATCAAATAGGGGCTTAATTACCATTATCAATAATATTATATAGATGCGTGTAATTATAGTAATCAGATAATTTAAATAAATTAGTGAGAATTATATTCGTATATAAATGTAACTAATTATAGTAATCATACAATCTGAGCCTACAGAAATGGATCTCTCCTCCCTAACATCCAAACACCATACCCTTAGCCAGCCACCGAACACCCCATCACCACCGATCGCTACAGTCGCCGGCGACGGCAACATCGCGTTGACCGGGCAATCCCCATTCACCGGTCTTACGCCACTTAATAAGCCACACAATCAGGCGGTGGCCCTAGGTGGAAAACCTAGCACCGCCGCCCTAACTGGAGACACCGATGCCGAGATTGGAGTAGAGGCGGGAAAACAGGGTATCCCGATCCAGATTCAGCAAAATCCGACCACCTACCTAGCAAACGCGCCTAACCGGCGGCTGCGCAAGCGATTCCGACGAGGGGGGCGACATTGAGGGACCCACGCGCCGTCGAAATGGTGCGTGTGACGGCGCGTGGCAGTCATACGTTGGCGTCGAAAAACCAGAAAGATGGGCAGAATGTCCCCAGTCCAGTAACGATGCCTGTTTTGCCGTCTAATATGCTGTTCACACACAATCAGGGAAGGAAGTTAGTGGATGAATTCTATGTGGCCTTCAATCACTGTTTTCGTGTTGAGGCGAAGGAGTTTGCAATTTCTGTTACCAATCTTGGTGCTGCTAAAATGATCGAATGGGGCTCGAAGATATCGAATGCAATTAGCATGGGAAGGGTCGGTGCATTTTGGATAGTGAATATGGTGGACAAGTTGAGGGTGACTAGTAAGCATGAGGATTTCGTTTCTAGGTTCAATGAGTCTTGAAGCCTTCTTGGCATAGCGTTGTGCGAACCGTCGTGGTAGGTACTTGATGATAGCGCAGTGTGGGGATAGGTGTCAGAAGGGAGTTGTGATGGTGCCGGAAGGTGCGAATGGAGAAGGATGGGCATCAATCTCGCTGGTGTTTCAAACTGTTGTTGAGTCATTTGTTGCTGGGGATAAGGCCAAATGTCGACAGGTGAATGAACGTAATCGACAAAGATTGACTTATGCGGACGATACAGCAAACTTACATGCCTCGAAGCATGCTGACCAGCAGATGCAACAGCAAAAGGAGATGACTTTCAATGTCAGTGCAAACGAAGGTCAGGATTGTTGTTTGAATAGGGCTGAAATTATGGCCCGTGTCCAGGAATTGAAAGGAGCGTTGGAGGAATTGATTAGGCTAGTGGGAAGTGGGTATGAAATGAGTATCCAACTGTTAGAAAGCAAGCATCGAGCTTGAATAAGAAGGAATCGGCACATAATCAAGTAAAGCAGGGAAGACTCGAAATCACTTGTGAGTCTATTGATCGGATTGAAACTGATGAGGGACACTCTAAATATGACAAAGGTGATGCCTTAAAGGGGATGGATATGGATGAGGTAGACACGGGGACCGATGTAGACCTAGAGGTGACACCTTTGTCTAAAGAAGGGGAGCCGAGTATGGTGAACTTGGAGATAGTAACGATGAGAGCAATGGACACAGTCGCACACGATGATGGGCTTTTACTAGGTGACCAAGGGATGAGGCATGTACTGTCAGAGGATCTAGTTGCCTCAGGGGTGATAGAGCACGACGCGACACCTTTGACAACAAGGGTTGCGAACACATGTAATAGAAGGAACTCTAAGTCAATGAAGGTAAGTGACTTGGGGACGGAAAAACACTGGTGTTGTGGGTAGATGGAGCCAAGAAGGGAGAAATAGAAAGTGATGTTATACAGGTGGAGGAAATAGGGGAATTGATTGGATTCGAAGCTGGACACCCACCTTCGAACTGGGTTCTACAGAAAATTCAGGACTTCAGTAAGTTAATGGGCGTGTCTTGTGATGGACATGAAAACAGATTACTACAATTATTTGAGGATTTGGAGGCCAATAGGAGACAGGAGATGAGTAAACAAGAAGGTAAATTAAGAAGGGCGATCGTGAACTTAAGAGGCTCGAATGGTTAGTTAATTATGATGGCAAGGGTGGTGAGTCCAAGAATGGAGTACTGGGGAGGGATGCCGGACTGTTAAAATGATACCACGAATCATTAACTGGAATGTAAGGGGACTTAATGAAGTTGGGAAAAGGATGGGTGTTTGACATCTGCTAAGGGGCTAGGGAGCAGATCTTGTATGCTTACAAGAAACCAAGATGGAGGTCATCTCGAGGGCGGTGCTCAGTAGCTTATAGGGAGGATAGCATGTAGGGTATCAGTTTATAGGATCATCGGGGGCTTCTGGAGGCGTATTAGTCATGTGGGACACTGGAGTGCTTGAAATGGAGGAGGTGAGTGTAGGATTGTTCTCAATATCGATGTCGTTCAGAAACGTTAGGGATGGATTTCAGTGGATGTTCATAGGTGTTTATGGGTCTAATACTGATGACAGTAGATGGGGCTTGTGGGATGAACTGGCTGGAATGATGGCTAGGTGGAATCTACCAACGTGTATAGGAGGTGACTTTAATGTGGTTCGATTTCCTATTGAGAGTCGAGCGGTGGGAGACTCATGGGGGCTATGGAGGAGTTTTCGAACTTTATAAGGGAGAATATGTTGGTGGATTTGCCTATGATTGGAGGAGATTTTACCTGGTCGTCTAATCGGGACCAACCTGTTCTTTCTCATATTGACAGGTTCTTGATATGCGGAGAGTGGGAGGCTAAGTATTCAGATGTCATTCAGAGAAGATTGGGGAGGGTGTACTCTGATCATTTCCCTATTATGTTAACTGGGAACAGGACGGGTGGAGGACGAAGGCCTTTTAGGTTCGAGAAAATGTGGTTGAAAGTTGAAGGTTTTAGGGAGCAAGTACAGACTTGGTGGACATCTTACGATGTCAGGGGGTCTCCTAGTTTTGTGTTGGATCAGAAGTTGAAGTCTTTGAAAAGGGATTTAAAGAAATGGAATGAGGAGGTTGTGGGCAATGTGAACTGTCGTAAAATTCAGTGTCTTTCGGAGATAGATGAGTTGGATAGGTGGGAGGAGAGTCAAAGGTTGGCTGGGGAGGAGAAGGAGAAACATAGAGCATTAAGGGAAGAATT